AACCCTACTCGGATTGACTTGTATCGGGAGCAAATTCCTCCCGATTTCCTTCGTTCTTTTGGGAGTGATAGTTCAGAAGCACATAGTCTCATGTGTAACATTTGCACATTTATTGACAGGGAAATGCGAGACCTGGAGGCGTGTCAGTCGCTTCTGGGGTCAGGCGCTTAATCCGTCGCTTCTGGGGTCGCACTAGTACATGCAGACAGAAGAACGAGTGCGCGACATCGATCCCTCCGTCCCGTCGTGCGCCTCCGATGTGATGTTGTCACGTATGTAACGCCGGACCATGGACCGGTGACCCGCCTGTCACAATGCCCTCTGCCGAGCCCGAAACACACCAGACGTTCTAAAGCCTCTCTCCCCCGGCGCTCGTTTCCCCCCTCCAGATCTTTTCGAGATTCGTTCCATCAAATTTGCCTTCCTGTTTTGGTCTACTCCCTCCCGAGGCTTGCGGAGCGCAGCGACGCATCGAGTGCTGGGGCAGAGAGGCTGAAGAACGTCTGGAGCCGAGACTAGGAAGATCATTATCGAAGTCAACTGCTCCTGCGCCCCTGGACTTTGAACTAGACGGCGGGATAGCAGGGCTCCGCTCGCTATGGCCAATGAGCGTATGAGGCAGACGCTCGAGGTATCCGTACTGGTGTTATCGTGAACAAAGAAGAGTGCATAGCAATTGCACGCAATATATCGGACGAGGTTAAATACGTGATAATGCAGCGATCAACTGGAATACAAGTGGGTGCGATGTTGTACAATGAGCCAGAGAGTTATACAGTTTGCAGTGTAGTGTAACGTTCCGTTTCGTAAGCGACACTGAGGAGCAGGCGTTGAGACACTGGTGAGAGGGACAAGCGGCAAGGCACTCACGCATGATAAACTTCAGTCGGAAAAGGGAAGAGTTTTGTGACAACAGCGTCGGATGGCAGATTATGCGGCACGAGGAACAGATGGAGGATATGTGGCGCCAGCGCCGGATGTGCTCGAGGCGGCGCTAACCACGCTGGAGACCTGACAGAAGGACATGTGTCAACCACACTGAGAATGCTGTTGCGAGCTGGGGAACGTACCGAGCTAGCTCGAGAATGAGACTGTTGTCTCTGGGACATGTCCTTCAAGGGCACAGCGTTGCTGATGTGTTTCTGCTCGGGGGGTACCATGGGTGTGCTCCAGAGCGTCCATATAGCCGAGGAGAGTGTTGCGCCGATGGTTGCGTTGGGAGAAGCCATAAGTAAGTAGTGCTAGTGTGTGATGAGGGCTGACGGCGAATAGTGGGGAGTTAATGCTGGAGACGACTGCGTCACTGCGCTTATATGGGAGCGAGTTGTGGATTGTACAGGCGCGGCTGGGCTCGAATGAATGGTCAGCCAAGATTGCTGGTATACACACCGAGCGCGGCTGCTCAGGAGGAGCGGCGGACGCAGGTGATGTCACCGACGAAGACCCCGCATGCCCAATCGGCAGTCGCGGCCGCACCGCCACCCCCGCTCTTGCAGGATAGGCGCTAACCCCGAGCTGCTCTCCGTACACGCCATAATGAGCACCTGACCACCACCACGCGGGCCCTCTCTCAGCCAGGAAGCGCGTCTCTTAGATCGACGTACCAGTTACAGCCCACCCCTGAGACGTAAAACTCTCTCCCAACGTTTCAACGCTCAAGTCTATCAGTGTTAGCTCGTGGCCAACTTGACCACCCGAGACATGGCCGACAACCTCGCGAACCCCAAGGTGGCTATCATCACTGGCGCCTCGTCCGGTACGCCATGCCAGTCTACTGGTAACAACAGACTTGACAACTCTCTCAGGCGTTGGACGAGCCACGGCCATCGCACTTGCCGAAGCAGGCTGGTCGATCTCTCTCTTCGCCCGTCGCGCAGACAAGCTCCAGGAGACCAAGCAGCTCTGCAAGGATCCCTCCAAAGTGCTCCTCGTCGAAGGCGACGTCACCAAAGAGGACAACGTCTCGGCGCTCTTCCGTGAGACCGTAAACCACTTTGGTACTGCCGCCGCTCCCCGCTATTAGCTTTAAACTGCTCGCGAGGCTGACGATCGCGCGGATCGCTGCAGGTCGCCTGGATGTGCTCTTCAACGTAAGCGACTGTTCACAAGACGGCGTCCTGAATTGAGTTTTGACTCTGTGCAGAACGCCGGCATCGGCTCCCCTCAAGTCCCGATCGAAGACGTGTCGCTCGAGACTTTCCAGATCGTCCTCAACGTGAACCTCGTCGGGACGTTCCTCTGCACCCGCGAGGCCGTGAAGATCTTCAAATCGCAGGTCCCCAAAGGAGGTCAGCTCCGCAGCACGTAACTGTCTGCCCGTGTTGTGCACTGAGGACCCGCCTCGCAGGGCGCATCATCAACAACGGCTCCATCTCCGCCTACACCCCGCGCCCGTTCTCGTCGCCCTACACCTCGTCCAAGCACGCCGTGCTCGGCCTCACGAAGTCGACCCTCCTGGACGGCCGCGTGCACAACATCACATGCACCCAGATTGACATCGGTACGTCCGTCCTGCCCGTCGAGCGACGCGGTGACTATCGAGACTCTGTCACCCTCTCTGTGATCACCCGTTAGGCGGAGCGAAGACGGGCATGTCGCCTCCCCCACAAGGCACGCTCCAGCCAGACGGCAGCTACTCCCAGGAGGCGACGTTCGACGCGAAGCACGTCGGCGAGGCGATCGTGCATGTCGCGAGCCTTCCGCTGGACGTCACCGTGCTCACGTTCAATATTATGTGCGTTCTGTGTAAATATGCGCCGATCCGGTGGTGCTCACGTCGCCTCATGGCGACATAGGGCAACGCGGATGCCGTTCGTCGGGCGGGGTTGACAGAAGCGAAGGTCGAAGTACCAAGCAGTATAGCATACAATCTGTCTTACATACCTCACAAGAACTACAACGACTTTAATGCTGAACGCGCCACATCGCCGTCTGCCCCTCCGCCTGAGCCACACAGCTCCCCCTATCCGCCGTCGGCACATATCCGTCCCCACATTTCTCTGCACACGGTCGTCAGCACGTGGTCCTTACCCCCTTCACAGACCACACTCGCCACTCACCGACGACACACCGGCCCTTCCGGCACCCCACATCGTCCGCGAACGGGATCGCGCTGCAGTCCCTGCCCCCGTCCGCCGACGGCTCCCCGAAAGGCGACTCGTTCAGCGCACACCCGCCACAGCTCTCCAGCGCGTTCTGCACGTCGACGCACTCGTAGCCCCGGAGGAAGCCGCGCCCGCCGGACGCCGCGCCGTACAGCGGGCAGCTCCTCGTCCCGCGCGGGCACACGTCGCGCCTCACGTTGCGCCGGCGAGCGGCAGGCGCGTGCGTGGGGCTTCCGCCGGTGTTCGCTGGGGGCCGACGTCAGTCAGGCAGGCCTGAGAGAGAGTCAATCGAAACCGGGGCTTACGGCAGGTCCCTGCGCTCGACTCGGTGCAGCTCGAGAGGCCCCCGTTGGGCTTGCTGCTGCACTGCGTGCTCGCGGTCGCGCCGGCGAGCGAGGACGCGCCGCTGACTGGGCACTGGGCGCAGTGCGGCTGCGCGGTTTGGTCCTACGGAGCATTTATGCGTGAGAACGAACGAATGCGACAGGGATCGCCCGGCTCCCGCACGACCTACGTTGTAAAAGCCAGAGCAACTATTTTCAGAAGGACGTGAGCCAAACGCGCCGCTTCACCATCGCTCGGAGCCACACCGCACTCACCACAAGCAACACGACGTAGCCCCGCGGTCCGCCTGGAACGTCCCCTTCGGGCACGGCGTGCACATCTGGCCAGCGCCCGGGGTGTCCGAGAAGTACCCAGGCGGGCACGGCGTCGGGGACGTGCTGCCCTCGCCGTTGCAGTAGGACCCCGGGGGGCAGGTCGCGCACGCCGCCGAGCCCGCCTTCGCGGTGTACGTTCCCTCCTTGCAGACCGTCTGGTGCGTCGCCCCTGATCCGCCTGGGCCGGACCCTGCGGCGGACCAGCCTGCTTGGGCAGCGATGCAGGACGTCTGGCCGGCATCTGAGATACGACGGGTTAGTGGATGCACGATTGGCGCACGGGGCAGATCGTACTCGGTTGGAAAAAGCCAGGGGCGCACAGCGTGCAGGGCGTCAGGCCTTCTAGAGAGAACGACCCCGGCGGACAGCTGCCCGCGACAACGATGCTTGGCGCACTCGCGAGCGCGAGGGCCACTAGGATTGCGGGGGTGGTGGACCGCGACATGCGACCGCGGAAGGCGAAGGCGACCATGGTGGATTCAGACCAAAGGAGGATACGAACGCCCTGGAGAGTCCAGGACGAGTCGCTCGGCCTATATACCTAGCTCGAGACGCAAGTCTAGTTGCGCATGCACGCACGGATACAGACCTACGGTCTCCTATGGTGCTCTACCTATCAAACAATCTTTTTCTACGGAGGCCGGGTGACACGGCGCGAACGCTTTGACGTGCATCTAGAGCTCTTCATGGCGTACCTGCCCCGAATAACTTGAGACTAATTGACTTGCCTAAAACAGCCGGCCCCGACCCGAGCAGTAGCAAGACAATGGAGCAGGCCGCACCACGTGTGGTTCAGCCAAGGAGTTCTGGAGCCCGATCGTCCCTGGCCTCCATTGCCACAAAGGGTTCCCGGAAGAGTCGGTCGCCCGTGCAGCGCGGAGGACAGCCGCGCCACTCCTGTCAAAGTGCGCATTCAAGCTCCAAGGAGCGCGCCGCGCCGGGCTACCGCACGGCCAGACCTAAGATGAGCACTCTATCGAAGCAATCGACTTGTATGATCGTGAGGGCTACGTGAAGGGGTTTCACTGCTCAGCCCTCTACGATCAAACAAAGGTTCGAAAGATGGGACCATTCCACCTCTCCTAATTATGAATCTAGAGGCATGGTGACCATCGTGAGACGTCTCAGTCGAAGCAGCCGCGCAAGCATACCATGTGCCAGAATGTATTGCATGGAGTGGGCGGCGAATAAGAGGAAGCAGCTTGATGGGACGAGCGGTGGCAGACGGCCTTCGGGATACAATGAAGATGCAATACGTCAGCATATGCTGGCTCTAAGCGTCGGATGCTACTCACCTGGCCCTAAGGGCCAAGTTGTGTGTCTTGACCGTCTGGAGGACCTGTAGAGGTCAACAAACCATGCTACAGTCCGACTCCGCATCTCGTAGTCCAAGTCCAAGTCAACAATGTCTAGTCCGCTGCTAAGTCCGGACGCACAAAAGTCCAAGTCTGTGCTCACCAGAAGCGGAGTAGAGTTTTGAGAACTACCACCTGATACCCCACCGCCCCTCACTGTCTGCTGACTCGGGTGAGATCATCGTAGCAATGCACAACAAGCTGGATTGGGTTTCGCCGCCGAAGGTCCCGTTTCGCCTCGTTCGCCCTTGTCCGATCTTGTCTTTGAATCCACTCGAGAGTCTTGTACTTCTTCGAAGCAGGTGACGCAAGGCACGACGGAGGACTGGGTGGCCGCCCTCATCCTCTTCCCGAGCCTCCCGCTTGCCCTTCAAGTCCTCGCGTACCCTACTATGGTTGGAGGAGGCCATCGACATTTCCGGCGACATGACTCCGCTTTGTACCCCTCGTCCGCGTGATCCCGGTCTGGCGCCTCAGGATGGCCCTGGCCAGAAGACCGCCACAGAGCGTCGCAGCTAAGCCCACGAAGGTGTCGGTGTCGGTGTCGGTGTCGGTTGCTGAGCGTTGCTGGGTGTCGATATCATCCCGAGGGATCCGAGGGCTCGTTTCTTCCACCTTCACCGCCACCACGTCCACAGTGTATGCGCAGCGAGGAGTTGCCGGCCCCTCTGCACTAGTCGAGACTGGCTTTGTCGCACATTCTCTAGGGAAGAGAGCAGCTGGGTCTTGACCGTCGATGAGGCTCAGATCGTTTCCACCCATAGCTGTATACAAGGCACTCCCGAATTCGAACGTCTCCGAGTCCGGGATGGCCGGAGAAGGCGTAGGTGCAAAATACCAATGATTTTGACACGTTCGGAGGCGCCCACATACTCGAATACACCTCGGAGGGCGGTACCATTCACCGTTACAGCGATAAGTACAACTGATGTGGTGCAAATCCAACACAGTGGATCTTCGAGGTACCAACATGATTGAATATGTACATCAAGTCTACGCTATTCAGCGAATCAACCGACTTCAAAACCAGCAGCTCATTCCGACACGATAACATCCAAGCGGCCCTTCAGCACCAGATTGACCTCACTCTCTTCTTCATCCACGTCGGAGAGACTCCGCTTCAGCGTGCGCCCCTTCGTATCCTGGCTTCGCCCCTTCACGAACTCCCTCCGACGCTTGGGAAATGCAACCGGGATGACCACGTCCTCATTCTCTTCCTTCTTCACCCCACCCTCACGCTCGACTGCAGCCTCGTCCTTCCCGCCTCCCTTCCCTCCTTTCTTCTTCTCCTTCCTCCCCTTCTTCTCCTTCCTCTGTTGCTGCTGCCCCTCCCTAGCCTTCGCCAGATACTCCGACCACAGTGGGTGAGGGCAGCACTCGCAATCCTCAATCTTGTACAAAATCGCATGACGCGCAAGCCTTGCCTCCACGTTCGCCGGCGACAGCCCTAGCTCCGCGCACCTCCTCCTATACCCCTCGTCCCGGCGACAAAACACCTGCACCACCGCGACCTTCTCGTACTCCCTCACCACCCGCCCCACAATCTGCGCCTTCGTCAACGGCGCGCCGCCCTTGCTCTTGCTCCTATGCCGCCTATACAGCTCACTCTGCTCGAACCGCGGGCACGTCTCCCGCAAGTGCCGTGTCGCCGCGTCGGGCAGGCGGTGGATCGTCCCGCGCGGCTTCAGGCCGTCCTCCGGCGGGCAGAACAGGCAGCGGATCATACCGTGCAGCGCCGTGAACGCACGCCGCTCCCAGTCCGTCTTGCGCGCATACCGCCCCGGGCCCATCTCGAGCCCGCGCCCTGGCATGCTCTGCGTCTGCGTGGCGGGGGTGTGCGCTCGTGGCGCGGGCGCGTAGCGCGGCCGCTTGCGGGGTGGCTGCGGGTCGGGTTCCGAGTCAGACGCGGGGTTCGAGGCCGGGTCCGAGTCTGTCGTGCTCGTGCTCGGCTCGAACTCGTCAGAGTCCGTCACGGACGACTCCGAGGGAATAGGACTCCGAGGGGACTGTGACTTGATGCGCATTGTGCTACGACGCGCGGAGATCTCGACGACAGGCCTCTCGCGCGGGGGCGGACTCGGGGCCGGTGCGGGCTCTGAGGGTCCCGGAGAAGGCTTGAGATCGGAGGGAACGGGTGGCGGCGGTGTCTCAAGACGTTGCAGCCCTTGCGCGCACAAGCCGGAGGGCTCGCCTTGATCTCGGGGCTGGCCGCGTCCCCCTGGGGTGTCCTCCACGGCGGGTTCAGCATACACCAGAGCTGGATTCCAGACGGCCGCGGGTGGTGGCGCGTAATGTAATTGTGGCACCCGTTCTTGAGGCTCTTGCAATTGAGCAGCAGGGGTCGTCTCAAAGGTAGGTGGTGGTGCCTCGTCCGGAGGCAAGTCCACGACGATGCCTTGAGTGCAGGTCATAGTCTCCTCGGGATCGTCACCAGAGATAGGCTCTGTGGTGCGTCTGAACAGCACGACTTGCCTCACACGAGGCTGCGGTCCGTCATATTAGCCCGTCGGATTTCTGCTACCACAGGGACAATAGCTCACCACTGGAAGGGCAGCAAGCTGCTGTGAAAATTGTGGCGCAGAATATTCGTCTCCGGGAGCAACATATTGCTGCTTCCAAGCTGGGGATGCAGGCCTGTCTCGACAAGACGTCCCTTGCGGTGGGAATGGCGAGCTGGATATGTCCATGGGCAAGGTTGAGCACAATTTGATAGGATATGTGGAAGAGAGACGAAAACGGTTGAGAGGCGTACTAGTCAGCTTTTAAACGTTATAGCTTGTGGGCGTACAGTGATGCACAACAGGAGATGGATCGGGAACCTGAATCTTGCAAATTAGTATACGCGCAGATCTAGCACTACATGACTATAGCATAGCCTACATTCTAAGCAAGGAATTTGGACAGACTGTCACCGTAGTTCTACACGATCACCCTCTATAGATGAGACCCAAGGCGGAATGTGCTCGCAATAACGTCCTGCACGCCCTCCTGCAGACCAACCATGTTGTGCGCGCCCCAGAACGTCTCGACGTAGACGACCTTACCCGCCGTCCCGTCGAACTCCTCGACCGTCCCGAAGCTCGGGATCTCCACCCTGCGCACGAGCTCGCTGCGCCTCGCGTTGCGCAGCTTCTGGTTCTCGAGGAACTCCGTGTACTCCTCCTTCGTGTACGTCACGTCCGGATTCGGCGGGAGCGAGAGCGCCATAGGCAGGTGCGGGTCAAGGAGCTTGTCCAGCAGCGTGCGCGAGTGGTGCACCGGGATCTCCATGTCGTCCTGGCTGTGTGCGAGTAGTACCGGGACGTTAATGTCCTTGATGGTACTCAGGGTGTCAAACTCGTGCTGCACAAGCCGCTGTAGAAGCTCTATCAGATCGTTTACTGTGAGCCTCGATCATGGTCTGTGCCGTAGTAACGATGGACTGCTCACTTCGCCCAAGAGGGAAGGTCTGTAGGGGCTGCAAGATAGGGACGCCTTGAATGTCATACGTCTGCACGAGAGTGGCGACGTTCGTGAAGGGCGCGGTGAGCACGACACCGCGCGGCCTAACGTCCTGTTGCGCGAGCCAAGTCGCAAGAGTCGTCGCGACGCCGGTGCCCAGACTATGTCCGAGGATCAAGACGTCCTCGGGCCTCGCCCCCTGGTCGATCAGCCAGCGCCATGCCGTGCGCGCGTCCTCCCTCAGCCCCCAGTCGGACGGCTCGCCCTCGCTCTCGCCGAAGCCGCGGTAATCGAATACCAAGACGTTCGCGCGGAGGCGGGAGGTGAAGGACGCGTAGTGCTGGACGCGTGTGGGTGCGGCACGGGTCGCAGAAGCGCCATGACAGTAGAGGATAGTCGGGTATGCGCGGATGGCGTCCCGTACTACCTCCATGGTTGGCTGAGTGACAGGGACGGGGGAAGACATGCGATGGGCCTGGTAGAAGGGTTCGGAGAGGACGAACCACGATCCGAGCGTGACGTTGTCGGGGGTCGTGAGTTGGAAGTTCATGGTCTTGCCGGCTGTACCCGATCATGAGCATGTATGTCGTCCTGGACACGGGTTTGTAAACGTACGTGCGAGGCCATATTTCTCAGGCAAGTGAAACTTGGCACCCCAAGGGTATCTGAGCGCGTGCTGGTATATGGCACTGGGTGCCAAGTGATGTTAGCCGAGGACAGTGCGAACATGAGCTGGGTACTCACTGTCTCTGGAAGAAAGGCGTCGCAAGGAGGACAATGAAGACGGCGTAGAGGGCGCTGCTGAAAAAAGCAACCCTGTGCAGCTTCTCGAGAAGCGACCTCGGCTTGGGAGAGGAAGCGGGAGAGGGAGAAGGAGAGTCGGCTGCCAATGCCATCGTTGCACCGTGTTGGAATTTGGCATTGGACAGTCTCGGAAGTACATGTCCCGTTATGGATATTCTTAGTCACCACGCAGTATTTACCTCTCGCTGTACGCCACTTGTTCCTCATGTATCTCAGCCAAACGCAATATACTGTGTGATCGTTCTTTCGACTTCGTCGCAAACTTCAACACATAGGACGGTGTCCTTCCCAAAGTCGACAGATTTTCGGAGGCGCCCGTGCTTCGTTCACCCGAATTTTGCGTCACAACAAAAAGTCGGAGACCAGCAAGGGGCGCGTTGAACATTGAACGTTCACTGGTTGTTTGTAGCAATGAATAGTACTCTATGTCGCGTTGCGTATATGTCAGATCTCGCAAATTCGTGCTTCTTTTTTGCGCTGATCACTACTTATACTAGTATACCAAAGGATGGGGGGGCGCAGGATGGGTTATCCTCTGCTAATGAAAAGGCTCCTTATGGGGAACTGGTAATGAGTACACGAGGCGATGCATGCCAGTACTATGAACTCCGTTGCTGAACTATGCCGTACATAGGACTCTATACAGAGCTCACGGCATGTTGCACTGTTGGGCTGGTGTCCGCCAATGGCAATCGCATGGGCGCCGAGCTGAACCTTGACAGGAGGGGCGCCGGGTGCCGACGACGGCGTCCAGCTTCTCACCGCTGACCACGACCGTGGAGGATGGCGCTCGGAGGGCTCGCGAAGTAGACAAGTACTAGAAGTCTCTTTATGTGAGTGAGACTCCCTCGCACCTCCCCCAAACTCCACTTACGACTCCTTCCCCACACTCCAGTCTGTCCGTCCTATGCAGTAGAACAGTCCATCTAGACGATACCCCCGACACGACTCTTACGAACGAACAAAATGGCTATGCGGAGCACCACGGCCTCAGTGAGCGAGAAGCTGGATGCCGCGAGCAAACAAACGCCTCCTGCCACCGTCTCACCATCCCCCTCTCCCTCTTCCACTAGCAGAACGCGAACACTCCCTCGTTGGGTCCCGACATGGATCGGCAGAGGAATCATTCGAGATGTCCGCGCACGCGCTCCTTACTACGTAAGCGACTGGACAGATGCTTGGAACTACAGGGTCATTCCCGCCATCGTTCTCATTTTCTTCGCAAAGTAAGCATAGAATCTAGCGTTGTTCTGCATCCGTATTCAAAGCGACCCTCTCCCCAGCGTACTGCCAGGTATAGCGTTCTCTCTAGATCTCATAGAGACTACACAGCAGTATGGTGTCTCAGAAGTCCTTCTCTCGTCATTCATGGCCGCCTTCGTCTTCTCCGTCTTCGGCGCCCAGCCGCTCTGCATTGCCGGTGTGACCGGTCCCATCACCGTGCTGAACAAAACGATCTTCGACATTATAGAACGCCAGCCGGATGCACCGAACTACCTACAGTTTGTTGGCTGGGTTTACATGTGGGGAGCCATCCTTCACTGGATTACTGCCGCCCTCAATTGTGAGTCTGGTTGCCGGAGGGGGGTCTCCACTGCTGACATACACTACAAGGGTGCAACTTCCTCCGATACGTCACCCTGTTCTCGTGTGACACCTTCGGCTTCTACGTCTCTTGGGTCTACCTTCAGTACGGCGTCCAAGTGGTCACCCGCCAGTTCCCTTCCGACGCCAGCTCCTCTCCACCCACCGGCTCGACGCAGTCCGGGACCTCGACTCTCGACGGTGCCTTCGTCGGCATCATCCTCGCCCTCCTCATGACCGTGTCCGCGTTCCTCTTCCGCACGCTCTCGCAATCTGGCTACTTCCACCGGCACGTGCGCCGATTCCTCGCGGACTACGGGATGCCCATATCCCTGGTCGCGGCGTCCGCGATGGCCTACTGGGGTCGCTTCAACCGGGCGAACTCCTCAACGCTCCCGACCGGCCACGCATTCATGCCCGCCAATGATAGGCCATGGCTAGTCCGGTTTTGGGAGCTCGACGGCAAGTGGGTCGGGATCGCGTTCCCATTTGGCGTCGTTCTATGGGTGCTGTTCTTCTTCGACCATAACGTCTCGGTACGTCGCGCGAAGCGGTTTTCCTACTCCTTTCCTGACGAATCATTACAGTCGCTGATGGCGCAAGGGACCGGGTTCCCGCTGCGCAAGCCGCCAGGCTTCCACTACGACTTCTTCCTACTCGGCATCACGACTTTCATCGCCGGCCTGCTCGGCGTACCCGCCCCGAACGGCCTGATCCCACAGGCGCCCATCCACACAACTTCCCTCCTGGTCATGGGTCATGCGGGAAAGGCAGACATAGAGGCCGCCGCGGCGCGCACTCCGTCCACGACAACCGCAGGGCCGGTCATCTCATCGCAACGCCCCAGCGACGACCTGGCCGTTGCCCATACCCGCTCCCGCCTGCACCGCCCTCGGACCCCCGATCTGGAGCCCGACCCGACACACGCGCGAGACGGCGAGGGCGACCTGCGGCAGCACGAGTTGCCCGTCGCGGTCGTCGAGCAGCGCGTGTCGAACCTCGCGCAGGGCGCACTCTGCCTCGTCCTCCTGACCGGGCCCTTCTTGCACGTCCTCGGGCTCATCCCGCGGGGCGTCCTGGCCGGGCTCTTGTGAGTGTGCTCCGCGCTGTCCTCCACATCTCGCTGACCGCGACCCTGGTCTCCTACGGCCTAGCTGGTACATGGGCCTGGACGCCCTCGAAGGCAACGGGATCACACGCAAGCTCCTGTACTTCCTGCGCGACCGGGCGCTCACGCCTGCGGACGAGCCGCTGCGGCGGGTCCGCAAGTCGCGGATCCTCCTCTTCGTCGCGGTGCAGCTCGTCGGGTTCGGCGCGACCATGGCGATCACCCAGACCATCGGTCAGTCTCCGTGCGCTCGTACGTCTCGGCGCCGGCCTTCTCACATGCGTCTGCAGCTGCTATCGGGTTCCCTATCATCATCTTCCTCTTGGTGCCGCTGAGAACGTACGTGGTCCCCCGGCTGCCGTTCACCGAGAAGGAACTCGCGATCCTGGATGGGCCGACGGCGTCGCCTTTCGTGAGTGCACAATTGCCGGTGACGTTATGTTTGCACTGACATCGATGCTGGACCTACAGACGATGGAATCCGTGGGTGGAATCAAGGGTTCATGACACGCACTAGATTTGTGCATCACGCCTTATCGTCTCAGTCGTAGAGCATCTAGCAATGCCGAGCATGCCACATATAGAGACACGATTACCCAATGCCTCCTGCAAAGTCCGATATCTCACCCAGCCCTCGGGCCTCGCTGACGCTTACAAACATCATCGCACGGGCGCGAGAAGGCCTAAGATGGCATCTACACTGTGAATATGCATTTGCTTCCTCCTTCAGGACCACTGTGGCTGTGCTATCCCAATCTCCATTTCACCCTCTCTGCCATACAGATGTTGCCTGCTACTTTCTTAGACTTATCTCCGGCCTGCAAAGGGAGACGGGATTACGCCGTTGTATTCTTCGCATCTGTCCACTGCTCGAAGCTATACAGAATTAGTAAGAACCCACGCCTGGTAGTCTCGCCTACGGGACCCTGACTGGGAAGAAGATTGCGCCATATCACTCGGGCATAGAGTGATTAGGGCTGATGTGCTCCAAGGCTTCTGGCCCTGCGCACTCCGAGTCCCAGAACACAGAGTTTGAGGATTCATAAGCTTTCGGACATGTTTTCTCTGCGCTGTTTGGCTTGTCTTCCGTGAGCTCCTCGTCGCGGAGCAGCCGTAGGCAACATGGTTCACCTCACCCTTCTCATCTCCAGCTTGCTACCTCTGCTCGCCCTTGGCCATGGATACGATTCCGAGCAGACGGTGCTCTCATCTTCCGCCTCCGGGAGGCCGGCCAAGTCCATCGCCATCGTCGGCGCAGGCAGCGGCGGCCTCGCCATCCTCAAGACCATCTTCGACCTCCCCGAAGACGTCCGACGCGACTGGGAAGTAGTCCTCTACGAGCAGCGGCGGAACGTAGGCGGGGTATGGCTCCCGGACCCCCCTGGGGCGCTGCCCCGCTATCCCGAGCTCCCCGAGTCCCCGACGTACCCGCTCCTGCACACGAACACGCCCCACCCGACGATGACCTACATCGGGTTCCCGTACCCGCCGAACACGCCCCTCTTCCCGACGTGGGACCACGTCCAGCAGTACCACGCCGCCTACGCGTCCCACCACAACGTCTCGCAGTACATACACGCGCGGCACCGTGTCGCCGCGGCGAATTGGATAGGGAGCGCGGAGGGCGGCGAGTGGGAGGTGGAGGTGCACGTGCAGGACCCCGAGAGACACACCGACGTCGACGAGCCCGTGCGCATCTTCAAGAAGTCCTTCGACCACCTCATCGTCGCGAACGGGCACAACCACTACCCGAACATCCCCCAGTGGGACGGGACAGACGAGTGGCTGGCGAACACGCCGGCCGGGACGCCCCAGCGCGAGATCATCCACTCCATCTACTACCGCCGCCCGGAGCGGTATGCGGGCAGGACGGTGGTCATCGTAGGAGCAGGGGCGAGCGGGCGGGATGCGGCGCTGCAAGTAGGCAAGCTCGCACGCGTGGTGAGTGTCTCCTCAGGTTTCGCGTAGCACGAGCGCAGACATCTCACGCGTCCCAGACCTACCAATCCCTCAGGCCGGGCAACGACCCGACCCCCGGGGCCAAGGTCGTCCCCAAGCCTCCGATCGCGCACTTCAACCGCACCTCCGTCGTGTTCGAGGACGGTAGCGCGCTGCACGACGTCGACGCGCTCATCCTCGGCACGGGGTACGAGTTCCGCGTGCCGTTCCTCAGCCCGCCGCACTCCTCCGTGCTCGCCGTCGACAAGCACACGACGCTCAACTCGACGACCGCGCGCACGCTTGTCACCAACCTGCGCTACATCTTCCCCACCCACAGGCACATCTTCGCCCTACACCCGGACATCCCGCCGACCGCCCTCGCGTTTATCGGGCTGCCGGTGCTCGTCGCCAACTGCCCCTCTGACATCGCGCAGAGTCTGCTTGTCGCGCACGCCATCGCAAATGCGTCCATCTTGCCTCCCCGCGAACAGCTGATCAACGAGCTCGTAGCACGCGAGGACAAGCTCCGCGCGGAGGGGCTTGACCCATACTATGTCGGGCACCGGCTGGTAGCAGAGGCAGAATCGGACCACGAGTACCAGGACGCGGTTGTCCAATATCTGAAGGACGTCGGCGCGCTGCCCGAAGACGGAAAGAAGTTCGTCGAGCCATGGCGGCGCATAGGGAGGGACAACTCGCGTCTGCTTGGACGAGCCTGGGAGCGCGTCAAAGAGCGCGGGGAGGAGAACAAGTGGCTGGAAGGCGTGAGGACTGAGGACGAGTGGGCAGACTTGATGAGTCGTCTTACAGAGTGGCAGCGTGCATACGAAGAGGAGCATGGCGTGCCTGAGTTCGAGGGTCAGTCGGTGTGGTATCTGTAGTCTGGCATTGTACATATAGTCTGTATAAGCTATACAGTACCGTCCTGTCTGTAGACATGAGGTCCTTAGAGCAAGGGACGACAATTTTCTCTACATTGAGGTCGAAACCAGATGCATTGGATATCTAGGGTGCATTGCGAGGGTGCATTGGGCTATGAGTTCACAGGTGTGATACCAGCCTCCTTGAGCTTCGCAATCAGCTCGTCCACACTCTCCACCTAGGAGAAAAGATAGATTAACATCACAGAGCTACAAAGGGACAGGAGGAGGACATACCTTGCCTCCACCCTTGCGCTTGGGCGGTTCTGTCACCTTCACCGTCTCGAGTAAGGGGGTAAGGTCGATCTTGAGGTCCGCCGGGGTCAGCTTCTCAATGGGCTTCTTCTTCGCCTTCATGATATTGGGTAATGACGCATAACGTGGCTCTGTAGAAGCAATTTAGCACGAAGGATACGTATTCATAGAGGACACGACTGGCCGTTCAGTCTGCGAGAGCACGTGAGTTAGCTTGAACGAGGCAGTCTAGCGACGGAAAGAGTAGGTACATACCGGAGATCGGTCGTAACAACCAAAGGCAACTGGCACTTCAACTCCTCCAAACCGCCATCAATCTCCCTCGTCACGTTTGCCGTCTTCGCCTTCGGGTCCACATCCACCTTGCTCGCGAACGTCGCCTGTGCCCAGTCCAAAAGCCCCGCCAGCATTTGACCCGTCTGACTCGCGTCGTCGTCGATGGCCTGCTTGCCCAAGATCACCAAGTCCACGCCCTCCTTCTCGCGCTGGATGACGGCGCGCAGCGCCTTCGCGATCCCGAGCGGTTCGGGCGGGGGTGCTGAGTCGGGAACCTCAACGTGAATGCCGGAGTCGGCGCCCATGGCGAGCGCAGTACGGAGGGTCTCGGCAGCCTTTGTGGGGCCAATGGTGACGACCTTGATGGACTTGACCTCGTCCTTCAGCCTCTCGCGTAACCGGACGGCCTCCTCGACAGCTGGGACATGCATTGGCGCGTCAGAGCATCTCGCGAGACGGGATGCTCAACGAAACGCACCAATCTCATCGAATGGGTTCTGCGCAGGCATCGCGATTGATTATGAACACGATGTTTTGCATGAACGATACGTACCATGGAGTGCTTGACGTTCAGGTCGACCCCCTTCTGGTCGGGGTTCACCCGAATCTTGACTGCATAGTCGACCGTCCTGTATGTGATGCTTCTTCAACAGCCGCCATACCCGAAATTCTGAAGCAGCACCCACCGCTTCACAGGGACAAGGATGTTGAGCAGACGGACTGCAGATGGCCTCATGTTGGTGTAGACGATGTGGAAGAGGGCCGGGGTGGGGAGGGCTTCACCGAACTCCGGAATCACGGATGTGGACAAGAGTGCGGGGATCCGGTCGGAACTTGCCGGTGATACATGCGTAAGGCAATTATTGACGTCCATGAGGAGATCGACTACGCATGACCATTAATTCCGCCCTCGTTCCTCTACCGCGTATCACGGACAACCCTGTAGCTTCATACACGTTCAAAAGTAGAGGACTCGTTTAACACATTCTTTCATTGAGCGAGAGCCAAGGGTCGACTAAGTCTCTCAACACGACCAGTTACAGGATTGACTGTACTACGCTCCTAATCACCCATTAATCACTCGCGCGTCAGCCATTCCGGAGAATGAGCATCCAAATGCATTGGAGCTTCCCCTTCGACCACCGGAGTCTCAGACAAGACCGCAGCATGCTTCAACGCTCTCATCACCTTCTGCTCTCCATCGTTACGTGACGTCCGAGTTTCCCGGACTTGTGCCGAATACTTCGCGACCTCTTGGTCTTTTTGTGAAGGAGTCGGTAATGGGCGACCATCTCTGAACGCGGCGGCAGGATCCAGACATCCCAGGGACCGGATCCATTGTCCCACCGCGGCAAGGGAGACCCTCACTTCCCAAGAGCCGCCCTCCTGTCATGTCAAATAGCGAACGTAAGCCTACAAGATCCATTGCTGAATAGGAAGGCTCGCCGTTATGGTCCGACACAGCGCAGCCTGAATGCCAAAGGCGAGCATATATCCTGCGGCGTGATCCAACGCTTGCATGGGAAGAGCCTTTGGACGAAGCGGACGAAGCCCGTGGTTGCCAGTGTATGCAGCGTACGCTTCAGCTTCGGCGACGTTATATCCAGTAGCCGTTTGAACTAATGAGTCGAACTGGACGCCATGTAAGCCAGCGAAAATTAGAACCTTGAGCTGTGTGATTACCCCGCGACGATCTTTCCAAGGTCCTTCCCATCCATAAGCAGTCAAGCTTGCATAGACAATTCCCGGGCGTGCCTTCGCGACTTCTCCTACCCCGAACCCCTTTGCAGCCAAACCGCCAGGTCTGTACGACTGCAGGAAGACGTCCGTGTCTTTGACGAGGGATGCGAACTTCTCCCGGCCTGCAGGGTCGTTGAGATCGAGCTGTGTTGTCCGCTTTCCTCGCGAGGTATCCACGTCGAGCATCGGCAGCGCAGGCAGGTTGGGTGAGGTGATCCACAACACGTCTGCACCGTGGGCTACATCGTGCGCTCAGTTGCTCAAAACCTGCCCAGCAGTGCCAGTCCGAGCTCACCTGCAAGCGTCCTGCCCGCCACAGGACCTGCGAGCACCCTAGTCAACTCCAGCACTCGAATCCCCTCCAGAGGACGAGTCGGGCTTCCTCTGACCTCCCGCTTTGGCGCGTCGCCAACCTTGAGTAGCATTACGGGTGGCGTATCCGTGAGTGCCTTGGCATGCGGATGTGCATCCCATTGCTCGAACGAACGCAGAGCAGTGGCACACATCTTCCGCGACGAGGCTTCCGTTTCGAAGTCGACTGAGTTCCAGCCTAATAGCGCTTCCTGGACCGACTCCCTGGTCGGCGCGCACTGAAGGATGTCTAGTATACCCTGTTTATGGCTGCAAAGCGCGATGGTATGAGCACGAACAGCTTTCGGAAGTAAGACGATGCAGCCCCGCTCACTGAGGAAAGTTGGTGTGAATCCGGACATAGTTGTTGTCCTTAGTACGGTACACGCCCGCAAGACCGTCAAAAATACTTGACGTCTTCTTTGGCTGTCCCTCGATTTCATAGTAGACCTCGCTCTCTGTGAACAAAATGTGGGACACGCCGTCACAGGAAGTCTCATCTAGACACTAACTGAACTCGATAACAGCATGGCGAGCATCCACGCTCACGACCTGCTCGGCCCCGGTCCGAAGTTGATGGAAATGGGCCGCCGCAAGTCCAGCGAGGCCTATGGACGTCTACGCAGTCTGTCCCGTCAACTTGCCCCGGACCATAGAGAACAGCGCGCATGCACACCTACCTGTGCTGCAGTACCAAGTTTGAACGTCGAATCAACCGCGGGATCCGGATGCGGTGTAAGCTCTAAATGCGAGACAGTCTCTACAGGGAGCCGTAGCGACCGCCACAAAGCCTCCGCTGGTGCACGAGCAGCGTTCATGGCGTGCGATGACATACCGGTACAGACAGTGAATGGTTCACAGATGAGAGGGCAACCTGCGTCGAACTTGCTGACCAGAAGCCCAGCCTACCTCATCTGAGCACATGGTTGCGATATATATACCCAACTTGGGAAGGAGAGCCGCGTCGACCGGCTGCCCGGAGTCCCTGACAGGCGGTCCGGAAGCAATGCACATGCATTCAGCCCACTGCTAATTCTTCAGCACGAATACATGACAAAGGACCGAGTCAATTCCTAGACCTGAATCACGCCATACCCAATAGACTCACCAGCGTCCGCGCTCAGCATGCGAAGCTCGAGGCAAACATAAACAGGAGACCTACGTTCAGAGATCGTTCGCAAACACGAATATGCGCGCTCGCTCCCTCGTCGGTGAACGGAAATTAAGCCAACTCTCGTCTAGAAGAAGAGGTGTAGATACTTTTAGTCTACTCGCAAGCTGGCTAGCATTACGACGATAACTACACAACAATGTCCCACACGACTACCTCCATTCACCGCTCTAGTAGAGCAGCGACGACATGTCCGCGCGGATACGGTTGTAGTCGAGGAGACCATCGATAGGACCTACAGCAGCGATAGAGATCTGCGAAGCGAACAAAGTCAGCAAAAGCGGAGAGAGGCTTGGGAGCTAGGCTACGTACATCCTTGTCCCAGAGGTACTTCTGCGCTACCCGCTTGATGTCCTCCTTGGTGACAGAGTCGACGATGAACTCGATCTGCTTGGGCGTCAGGCGACGGCCGCTGGTGACGAGCTGGCGGCCGATGTCCTCGGCAATGGCAGTGGTGCCGTCGAGAGAAAGGAGGAGAGACGCCTTGAGCTGGCTCTTGGCGCGCTCGACCTCGACGTCCGTGGGCGCGATGGACATGCGCGTCCACTCGCGGAGAGTGAAGTGCGCCAAGTCGTCCATGTTCATGAGGTTCTCGGTGACGAGGTAGATACCCCAGAGACCCGTATCCGAGTAGCTCGTCGAGAACGACATGAAGCTGTTGGCGAGGTTGTTCGACGAGATGATGTGCGACAGACGCGAGGACATGAGGCCGGCAGCACCGAGCGAGCGGTCCCAGTTGCCGAAGATGCTCTGCATGACGAGCAGCGGGAAGTAGTCGGGCGAGCTCCAGCCGACACCCTCGACGGCGATTGCGACGTGCGCAGTCGGGAGGGAATCATCACGGATGCGGACCTCGGCGCCGGTGAACTTGGTCTTGGGGTGAGAGAGGCGGCCAAGGGGGATGGGGTTGGGAGAGACAGGGAGGTTGGCGAAGTGCTGCTCGGCGTACTTGACGAGTTGCTCGTGGTCGACACCGCCAGTGCCGACGAGGACCATGCGGTCGGCAGTGTAGTTCGTCTTGATGTACGACGAGAGGTCGTCGCGCTTGATGGAGAGGATGTTCTGCTTAGGGCCGAGGATGGTCCGTCCCAGGGGCTGGTCTGCAGCAACGTGAGCTTCCCCGCACGTGGACACCGTCGACGTCACTCACTGGCGAAGGCAACAGCATGCAGGTGGTCGAAGACAACCTCCTCCAACTGCTTGTCCACCTCCTGCTGCTCGCGCAGAATCACGTCCCGCTCCCTCTCGATCGCGGCGGCGTCCAGGGTCGAGTTCTGGAGGATGTCGCTGATGATGTCCACGCTCGTGCCGACGTCCTTGGAGAAGCACTTGGCGTAGTACACCGTTTGCTCGCGCGATGTATACGCGTTCAGGTGCGCACCGAGGCTCTCAACAGACAGCTCGAGCTGGTGCTGGGAGCGGCGGTTGGTGCCCTTGAACGCCATGTGTTCGAGGAAGTGTGCCGTGCCATTCGTCGCGTCCGTCTCCGCCCTCGACCCCGCGTCAATCCACACGCCCACCGTCGCTGTCTGCGCGTGAGGGTGCGTCTCAGTTGCAACCGTCAGGCCATTAGGAAGGGTCGAGGTCTGCAGCTGGGGGTGAGGGATGTTGGCTGCAGTCGCAAACGACCGCAATGGGCGGCGCTGAGGTGTACGCTGTCAGAGCCGTTGCACGCAGCGAAAACGGGAAACAACATACAGGGTAGCGCGCTGCGCTGCTGCGAAGAGCACGCCCAAGCGAGGCCGAGAGTGTGCTTGCCACCATCGAGTTCGTGGAGAATGAAGTGTTCGTCGTCGACGGCGAAGGGGTCCGGGAGAATACGGTGCAGAGTCGGAGTATAGAATTAGACGCCCTCTATCATCTCTTCGGGCAGACTTGGACTCTGGCGCTTAGCTCACAACGTAATCGCCCGAAGCTCGTTGGCTTGTGCAGCGGTCGTAAAAACGACCTCGGTCTGAACCCAACCTAGTACTAACATTCACCATTGTACTTGAAACTTCTGTTCGAAACAATCCGCTTTTCTGCCTTGCAGCTCAAAATATTCGGGTGCGCGAGATGCACAGATCTCAACGACGTGCGTATGGGCATGGATATCGTATTATACATACGACGGCAGTGGTGGCATATATACAGCCATACGACAGCAGACAAGGTGTAGGAGTCCATAGACAAAGGTGCAAGACGGCAACGATAACAACTACTGAAGCAGATCGAACTACGCCACGCCCGCAGTGGAGTGGCCTTTCGACCTGTACTTCACGATCCACGGATGTTTCCTGACCTCGGTGAGCGGGATACGCTTGTCTGGGTCGTACTGGAGGAGCTGTAAAGGACGGTCAGACACAGAGAGCAGAGAAACACGGAGCCGGTGACAGACCCTCGTGATCAGATCGCGGGCTTCTGGCGACACTTTGGACGGAATCTTCAGGTCTACTCGCTGTATGCGCTTGTACGTCGCTGTCGGGCCCGGTCAGCTGCCATCATGGGGACGAGCAGCACCCAAGCTCACCGTTGTATCCGCTCAGGTCCTCGAATGGTGGTGCACCGCAGATGAACTCGTACGTGAGCACGCCCAGTGCCCAGTAGTCGACCTTCTCTGAGTGTTCGCGGCCCTCGACCATCTCCGGCGGAAGGTAGTCCAGTGTGCCGCATAGCGTTTTCCTCCTGTTTCCAGGTGCGTGTACGCTCCACCCGAAGTCCCCAATCTTGAGCTCGCCATTAATCCCAAGCAGCAGGTTCTCGGGCTTGATATCACGATGGATGACGTGCTTCCCATGGAGGTACATGAGCGCGTCGGCCATCTGGTCGATATACCGTGAACTCCGCTTCTCGGTGAAGCACCCGTACTTCGTCAGCTGCTTGTACAGCTCGCCCTTGCCCGCGAACTCGAGCATCAAAAATATGCGCTTCTCGTCGTGGAAGTAGCCGTACAGCCGGAGGACGTGGGGGTGTCGCAGGTTCTGCTGGATCTCAATCTCGCGCCGGATCTGCTTCTCGACGCGCGACTGGACGATCTCGGATTTGTACAGGCACTTGAGGGCAAGGATGTAGTGGGGCGCGGTCTTGGTGCGAACCATGTATACGCGGCCGAACTTGCCCTTGCCGAGTGGGCGTCCGATGTCGAAATCGGTCAAGTGCCATTCGCGTGTCGGCCGTTCTCTGTACAAACGTCCAGAGTCAGTTCCTCCGCAATGACAGCGTGCGGAGAACCGATCTGAGGCCTCTCCTACCAGCAAGTCGTGCGGAGAGGCTACTGTGCACAACTCCACATGGTCAAGAGCTCACTATACTCCCAATGGGGAGCCGTGCACATGCCTACGTCCTGCTCGTGGTTGTCGTTCGCATGATCATCCAGCATTCAAAAGATACGTAGACAATCAAGACCACGGCAAAGAGGACCTAAAGCGACACCAATTCAAACGCATCGAAACGAGCCACTCACGGTGCAACACTAGAATCCAGCGCAAGCTCCTCCGCCGCTGCGCCAACCACAACCTCTCCCCGGGTCTCGTTCTCAATTTCAAAGCCTCCATCATAGCTTCCGATGTCGATTGTGGGGGGTTTCGCGGAAGAAGCCGCAGGCGCAGCTGGTCGTGTCGGCGATGCGGGTCGTGAGGTGGCCGTCGATGTCTTGCTAGCGATGGAGTTCGTGGACGCTGCCTTCTGCAGCGTCGTGGCGGCAGCGAAGGGGTGTGGTGCCGCGTACTTGGACAGCAGCTTCGTGACGTTCGTTTGGCTCGGTTTCTTCTGGTGTTGCGCGGTGGTGGCTGGCCGGGTCGTGTTGGGCTTGGAGGATATCTCGAGAGCGGAGATTTGACGAGTGATCTGGTTGATGGAGGCCATTGTAGGTTTCGCTACGTTCAATAGATGTGCCAGGCCGTGGAGGAGTTGGGGACGACGCCAGCGACGATGTCGAAGACAAGAGCCGACCAACACGAGGTTCGGTTTTGAACTGGGGCAGGCGCGCTCTCAGCACGCGTACGCTCACGTGATCGAGTTGTCCTGACCGTCGGCCCGGAGCAATCGCCCTTCTCGCAAATTGAAATCGAGTCAGGTCCTTGTCCTTGTTTTCCTCTATGGTGTCCTCTCCGAGGTCTGTAGAGCTCCTTGGCTTGTCTCTCGTTACTCAAAGCTTCATCTCAGGGGCAGAATCAGGCATACACACAATGTATTTGCTACAGCTTGGCTAGGAGTATGCAACAGCAAGGATCATTACGCAGTGTACTACACATACCTCAGTCTGATTTCTCCTTCTCATCAGAGCTCTTGCATCACACTGTGGGCGTTCTCGTCATGCCGTGAACCGCATGCACTAGTAAGCGAGCAACGATGTATATACTAGAGACAGACATGCCGGAGGTCAGAAGCCCGAAGAAATGTCTACCACCCATACACCTTCGTATCTTGTCTTCTGAAGAGCCGCAAAGCCAGCCGAATCATGAGAAGCGTTCACCAAGCGTCCACGACCAGCTTCTGCCTGCGCAACTAGCAAAACATACGCCTAAGTTCCAGCACAAGGTGCTGAAATATGACGTCAAAGCCCTGCGGCTCCAGCCAGAAGCTTTTGAGCTCACGCACGCCGCATTTCCCGATTTGCCGACCTACTTGCACCGCGATCGCGAGCCAGCGCAGGACCTGCGCACGCAATCCTGCCAGCTTCTGACGACCGACGGAGAGAACCAGCGAACCCACCTCAGGCGCATATATTTAGCCAATTTTCGACGCCATGGCCAGCCTAGAATCGCCGACGGTCCTGACAAGACGGCCTCCGTTGTCGTCCCCGCCGCTCCCGCCCTCCCCGGCGCCATCGCGCGCGCATCCCCGAGAAAAACAAGACCGGCACCTCCCATCGCTCCACATGGTCCTCCGCTCGTTGAGCCCCCGAAGTCGCGGCGTAGGAGGCAGTGGGGCCTTCAGCCCAGATTCGTCCGAAGATGATTGCCCAAACGACCGCAGAGACGACCCCGCGGGGGACTCGGGCGGCAGCCCAAGAGAAGCGAAGGAGAGCTGGTGGCGAGGGCTGCTGCAGCGATACAAGCTCGTGCTCACCCTGGAGAACTCAGGCAGCGTAGCGCGGGACCACCTCGCGTCCGAGCGGACGTTCCTCGCCTACGCCCGAACGAGCCTGGCGATCGCCTCGGCGGGAGTCGGTGGGTCCCCTTCCCTCGTGCAACAACGGCCACTCACCTCTTTTGCCCCCTTCTCCAGCACTCGTACAGCTCTTCACGCTCAGCGCGGAGACAATTGGCAAGGAGTGGCAGAGGTATGCGCGGCCGCTGGGGGCTGTAACGATCGGGCTGGGGATATACACCTTGGTCGTCGGCGTGTCGCGGTATTTCATCGTCCAGGACGCGCTCATTCGCGGGGTATACCCTGTCGCGCGTGTCAGCATTGTCTTGCTCTCGTTCACGTTGCTGTCGTTCATCATTGCTGTTTTCGCCATCATTCTTGCAGTGAGGTGACGTAGGCGACGCAAATATGGGATGGTCTAGGCAGAGAGGACACTAGGGACCAGGGGCCGGTATGGGTAGCCGTAGGATTGCAGCCACCCCCTTGCGACACACATGTATATATACCAGCACGTCATAGCTTATGATGATCACGACATCCCCTTCCAACGCGAGACACGTCTCACGCACGTCTCGCTTGATCTCATGTCAGTCTTACTTGATATAAGTGGTTTCCTTATTCCAGCTCTAATCGCCGCAAAGCATCCGAATACCACGTTCACTAGGTTGACGTTCCACAGCTACTCCACTAAAGTCCAGAGAGAGTCCGCGCTGTACCCACTGTACGATGTAGGCATACAGATGTACAACGGCGACCATAATTAGCAGCATAAACAAGGATATAAGAGCGATCGCCGTCCCGAAACTAATGGGAGATATATCATAAGCCATCCAAATCGTGAATGCAAGTCCGTGTGCGTGAGGTCTGGGCTATGTCGTCATAGGCGGGCGTCGATCATCATGACAAAATCTGCAGTCAAGCCCAGCAACGTATCGGTATCCCGGTAGAACAACGTGCGACAACAAGGAGGATACGTACTGCCAGGAGGACCACGGCGACGACGACTACTAGCACGAGCATGAGGCAGAGCGCGCGCCGGCCTGCACGCCGCTGGTACTCGTGCGCAGTAGTCAGCTCTTCCGCAGCACCGGCGGTGTCGACGGCGATGGAGGAGATATTTGACTCGATGTTGTCTGCAGGGAGACGTCAGACGTCCACCACGAGCGCAGCTGCGAGACTACACACCGAGCATGCCACCCTGCTCCTGCACGAGCGTGCCAAGGTCACGGAAGATCTGGTGGAGTTCGTGGATGCCCGTCTCTATTTCCCGGATCTCCTCCTCGCGCTCCTGGATGAGGGATTCCTGGAACGCGAGCTCCTGAGGAGAGAACTGTGTCTGAAGGATCTGTGCCTGACGTTGCGAGGGCGTCGGACTTGAAGCACGAGCCTGCTCCTCCCTTTGCGACGAAGACGTAGGGTCAGCATGGGGTCCATCAAGCCAAGGGAGACAAGTCTCAGTATGTCACCCAATGGTCATTCCCGCCTGAATGACCCGCCAATCACGACGCAACGGCCAGTCGAGTGCTTCTGGCATTGAAAACGCGAGGAGGACTGAAACTCACGATACGTTGGCCTCATCATGCACGGCATGCTTCACGCCTTCAACGACCGTGCGCTGACGTTCCGCACTGACTTGCTGTGCGCGCTGGAACGCGACGAGGGAGAGCTGGAGATCATGCGAGGTCTTCTGCAATGACGTCTTGTACCGAGGCTTGGGGCACCACATCAACACCTTTGGTCCTGTCTATCCAGTGCACACCACCGACATACCAGGGTTGCCTGCATCGTCGCGAGCTTCTTCAAGTCATCCGACCCCCTCTTCGCCATTGCACGCGTCGACTCCGTGAGATCATGCCTATGCATTATGCCGCGTTGTGAGTGACGCCCATAGTCGAACTCACTCCATGTACTGACAGCGATTTACGCAGGGTGGCGGAGTCCCTGGCAGTGCCAAGCTGATCGACGAGCTTCAAGATACCCTGAACATTTGAATTGATCTTGAAGACCTGGAGCGATAGCGAGGACTGAAGGGTAACGAATGCGGACTCTTCTGGGGATTGTGGAACGGCGCCGGGCGACGGCGGGCGCTGCGCCAGTCCGGTCTCTATGTCTTGGAAACTCATGTTGGCGACGAGAGCTGAAGAGAATGATAGAAAGCTGCAGATGGCAAGTAGTGGTGAGGTAGTCAGGCTGAGGATGGGAACAATGCGGTGGAGATGCCGCTGACTGCGCCCCGCCCCGTGCAGCGGTCCGGCCGAGCCAAATATGCCCAAACACCCCCTCGTCGCTGATCGTGCCTCGCGCGCTGTCGAGCATGACGTCGCCGAGTTGGACTCATATCTCGTCAACATCATTACAGGACCATAATTATGGCTCAGCAGTTCCGGACCTAAAACCTACTCTCACCCATCTCTTGGCCGTTTGACAGCGGTCAAGGATCCCCAAGTGAGGTGCGAATCGGCTTCTCCAATACATCGAGCAGTCTCTTCGTGCTGACGCGTTCTCTGCAGGTGTTCATGTGATGCCTGAAATAAACAAGCAGGCATGTCTCCCTTGCCGGCCCCAGTGAATGTCACGCCTAGGTCTTATGACGCTCCCGACGGCCCGCTCACTACCTATAACAAGGGCGAACAGTAGACCTCAGATGGCTGCGACACACGTTAGGACGGCAGCATGAAAGGCTTTCTTTGGCTCCTAATTTTTCTTGTTCTACCTGCGGCATGGGCACTGTCTCCGGCACATCTCGCATGTCAGCTCAAGAAGCCTGGACACCTCTCACCTCTGACCGGCTGTAGCCCTGGGACGATCTTCGTCTCTCAAACTGATCCCCGGGCCCGCTTTACTAGCGTCCAAGCCGCCCTACTGTCTCTGTACGTGATCCGCGTTACGTTTGAGGTTGTCTGTGCTCACTATATGCGCAGCCCGGAGACGGGTTCGGCGACCATCCTCATAGGTGCAGGAGAGTATCACGAAACGGTGAACGTAACGCGCACAGGTCCCGTCACACTCCTCGTAAGTGGTAGCCCTGAGTATATCGCCTCCCCCCTCTGATGGCGACCTAAGGGCGAACTTGACCGAAGTACAGCCTTCGACCCTGCAGGGAATGCCTCGACCCGGAACTTGGTCCACATCTGGAACAACCAATTCGTCCAGACGGGCATGGACGACGCGCAGTCTGCTGTCCTCCTAGTCGCACCCTCTTTCAACGCGTCGTTGATCGGAGCTGGTCCGACTGGCGCCCCTCTTCAACCTCTGTTTGGCAATGTCGACTTCAAGGCGTACAACATCGACTTCGAGAATCGAGCGGTGAGACATACAGACGACGTATGTACGCTGATTGGGCTGACTGTAAATCGAGGCCAACTTTTCTATCTCGCAGGCATTGGTAACGGACATCTCGTACGCGAACGCGTCGTTCTACGGATGTGTACTTGCAAGCTACCAGGATACGTGGTACACCGGACGTAATGCCAGCACATATGTCATCGACAGCATCATTTACGGACAAACGGATTGTGAGTGCTGCGCTAGTGATACGCTCTACGATTGCTAATGTCGTTTGTAGACTTATTCGGCTTTGGCACTGCGTCAGTGGTCATTGGCAAATATCCCTCCACGCGCGAGACGCTGATTGCAGGGCAGTTGGTTTGAGAATGTCACATTGGCCAACCGTGCATGCGGTGGTGGAATATCCGCCTGGAAGGGCACGAACTTGACTGGCGCCCCTGGTAATCGATATGGCGCATATATCTCGAACTCGCGAATCATTCGGGTACGTTCGTCAGCTCTATGATCGAGACCTAGTTCTGATGCTGCTTTCAGTCACCGGATGCTAACGCGACTACCGTCACCGCTGGCAAATGCTTTCTAGGCAGACCCTGGAACGACCTCGCAACAACGGTATACTTGCGCACCTTCATGGACGATAGCATCGCTCCGGCAGGATGGACGCCGTTCGATAGTGCTAGGTATGTCGCGTCGATCTTTGATGAGATGAGTGGCCCTGAACTTCTCGCCGCAGACCTGTGATCATGAACACGACGTTCTACGCGGAGTTCGATTCATTCGGTGCGTACCCGGACATCCAACCGCTACGGAAACAACATGGGAAGCTGAATGAGTCGTAGGCCCAGGTGGTAACACCTCCGCCCGCATCCCACTGGAGCATATATTGACAAAGGAGGAAGCAAAGAACTTCACAGTCGAGAAGGTCTTCCTTGAGCGTCCAAAGTGGATCGACTTCGAGTACCTTGTGTAGGCCCCCCTCGCTGTAGACGTTGTGTGAGGACTACGCTACTGCATGAGCGCTCCGAGCCACCAACGGACTTTGAGATTCATAATCATCTTGAGGCATTTATAACATCCGTCCCAGCCGGGGCCGGCCACGAGCCTGTATGCTCCACGAGTCGTGCGAAGCTATTTGTCTCGGGCGTCAGGCGGACCTCGCTGCGGCTCATATATCGCGTTATCCATGATTCACCTACCACGGTTCTGACGACTCGCACCTCCCTTCCAGTCTGATGTCGAGCACGAGGTGAGCTACTCAGGCAAGTCAGAATTGGGTTGCAGAACACCAACCGAGAGACCACAGACATGCCATTGCTTGAGAACGCGAAGCTGCTGGTAGATCAAGCCATACATATCGATAAGGAAGGACTTAGGCACGTCTTGTCAGATAGCATCATCGGGGCATGCAGTGCTTACATGTGAATTGATCTGCAGCTTGCAGGAGGTGACCACTTCACCCTGCGCAGCGACGAGACGACTCTCACTCTGACCTCCTCGACTCGTCTACAGTTGCTCGAGCTCCTCAACCTTCTTACGGACACCACCTACCGGGTCAGACAAGCATTCAATGCGCGGACTCCGATTCACAAGCTTCCGCCGGAACTCCTCATTCGGATCTTCTCTCTCCTTCAATACACACCATTGTTCATCGACCATGTTGTGGAGCAAGTCTGCGGTCCGCATCACTTCAAGATCGCTTCAGTATTGTTACCAATTTCTTTGGTCTGCCACCACTGGAGGGACGTGGTCCTGAATGCACCCTTGTTGTGGTCAACCATCTCGTGCGCGCATCCGCGGTGGGGGCCCTTTCCCTCCCCGACGCCTATGAAGCACTTCTCCCGTCTTCCCTGCGCTCATAGCGACAGTCCTCTCTCCGTATACGGGGAAGCGCCTAGCCGCGATGACTACAAGTCGGACGTATTTCTCCGTGCTCATGCTCATCGTGTCCGGGAGCTCTTCGTATCCGTCCACAACCTCCATCTACCGCACGGCGACGAGAGGGTCATCCCACCATTGCTCTCCTTCCCTGCGAAGAAGCTCGAGCGCGTGATCATGAAGGGCGTCGGCTCCCGTTTACCTGCGTTTCGATGGCAAGATCGGGCTCTATTCGGAGGTCGCAACTTGCACTTACACTCGCTGTTTCTCACCGATGTCCAGTTCCTCCCGACAAACACCATCTCCACCACACTCACCCGTCTGATCCTCATATACACCCACACTCAAGATCAGGATGCATGGGGTTTACCGGTTCCTAACCTGCTTCGCTTCCTCCAAGGCACGCCTGCTTTACAGGAGGCATATCTTGAAGGACTCGTGAAGAAGTCTTACGACGGGACGACTCTGCCCTCGGCTCCCGTCCATCTGAAATGCATGCGAAAACTCCTCGTCGCTTCTGGGAAGGGAGCGGCTACGATCCTCACTCATCTCGAACTCCCCCCAGACTGTCTTTTGCGGACGAAGGTTGATGTATTGTCGCATGACGAGATACGTTTCCTGGTGACTGCTTTCCAGGAGACCTTCAGGTGGCAGCAGACAAAACTCCATTGCGTCTGGGACGGGGAGACCAACACATACGCCAATCGCGGAAACCCTGGTCATATCTCTCTACAGGCCATGCGACCTTCGGGAGGCTGCCTGAGAGTGGACTTGAGCTCCAAGCAGTCGGATACCTGGGGCGAGGCCGACGCAGGCGTGCGATCTCTTCTCGCATGCTTGCCTTTCGCTGCTGCGGAAGAGGTCTGGCTGTCTGGAAATAACGCGTGGAGAGTCCTCAGACATGGCTCCAAGCCACTCGCAAGAGCGAAAACTCTCCATCTCTTACGCATCGAGTCATTTGCTCCGTCCTCCGTCGGGATTCTTTGGCCGAACTCCGGCGATGATCACCAGGACCGCTCGACGGGTGCTCTCGAAAATTTGCACATCTGCATGCCGGAAGGGAACGGCCTCGAGAGCCTTGTCGAACTTCTCATAGCTCGCGCCGAGGTCGGGCAATTGCTCAGCAACTTATACGTTTCCGTTCAGAGTCCCGACAGTCTTCCAGCAGCCACTGTCTACGAAGAGATCCAGAATGCTACAGAGCCTTTCGTTGAGGACGGGGAGGTTGGCGAAGACCTATACGATGCGTACTCGTGGTGGAGCATCCTTCCCAAGGAGTGCACGGCGGAGGCGGAGACGCATAGCCTCTGGCCGGTATGGGCGGAAGGAGTAACGCCAGGCAACTGCAGCGGCGGATCGCTGTCTCAGCTGTCGGGCCGCGTCGATGTAGCGTTCGGGCCCTCGCGGTCCTCGTCTACTGGAGAGCCAGACCCCATAGACGGCGTCGATGACGATGACGATATGGACCCGTTTGGTCTCTTTGATTGAGGTTTGTAGGTACGCAACAGTACATAGCGAGCATCACAGAGTCCGATTGATAGCAGATAGTTATCGTTCGGTTGTAGACCTCTGTCGTGTGTGTCGTCACTTTCTTCGCAGCAGATCTACGAGAAATAGCTGTAACTTGGCCACGGCGAGGCGAGAGTCCAGTGCACAGGTCGGTGTCAGCGAGAGAGTGTACGAGCTTCCCTCTTTGGTTCGCTCCTGATGATCTCGAGTGTACTGAGTACGAGTACACGATGACTCACGGGTCAAATATATCGTCGTGAACGTTGCTCTAGTAGAAGTCTAGGTCATCTGGATCATGTTCAGGGCGTGGCAGCGGAGACTGATGCGCATGCGAGATCAGGGTAAGTATGTATGGCCGCCGCACCGGCTAAAGGCTCGGCCTCCCGATTACGTCGCCAATAAAAGGCTGATGGGGCTCGTCGTCAAATACCCCAGGTCTCTCTGTTGGCACGTACCCCTACCACCGGTCACATGGCGAACCGCCATGGACACTGCGCAGAAGCCTCATCACGGAGGGTAAGTGACTGGCCTCTGTAGTATTTCGGGACTACAAAGCTCACCCGCAATCCGTATGGCTAGGGAGACACAGGATGTAGGAGATTATGGCGACGTACGTCAGCATGCTGGACTCCTTGCGACTTCCGTTGAATTTGACACAAGCTCAGCCCGATGCACTCAACGCGTCGTTCGTTCTAGCTCATATTCTCAAGCCGCGAGCGACAATTCATAGCCTCCCAAACGAGCTTCTTTCCGAGATCTTTGTGTAGAGAAGCGATGAAAGAGGAACGTGGGATGATTGAAGCTAGGCTTCTAGTCCCACGCTTATATATTAAGCTAGATGTACATAGGAGACGTAGTTACTAATATACAACCGATACAAGCCCGTATCCGCGCGGAAGCTATTCCTCCCGGCGGCGGAAGAGCGTCTCATCGCTCCGCAACACTCCCCCTCGACGCCGGGCGCAATCCTAAGCGTGTGACCAGCAATTGGTGTCGAGGGCGAGGGAACGGTTTGGTGAGGAGGTCGGCCACGTTCTCTTCCGAAGAGCAGTGGATGAGCTCTACCTCGTTAGAGGTTATGCGTTCGCGTATGAAATGGAAGTGTATGTCGATATGTTTGGTCCGGGCGTGAGGGACTTCACGTTCGGCGGCGGCGATGGCGCTACGACTGTCAGCGTGGAGAACCGTCGGGCCGGTGTGAGAGAGTCCAATCTCTGACAGCAGAGCCCGCAGCCAGATGATCTCCGAAGTAGCCTCACTAGCAGCCATATACTCTGCTTCCATGCTTGATTTGGCTACAGTGCGTTGCTTCCTAGAGCGCCAGGTGATCGCAGCGTTGCCAAGCAAGAAGACGTGTCCGGAAATAGATTTCCGGTCGTCGGGGTCGTTTCCCCAGTCGGCGTCTGAGTAGGCTAGAATTTCGAGCGGGTGTTGTCCGGACGCGTGGTAGTCTAGAGAATACTCACGGGTTTTTTTGAGGTACCGGAGGACGCGCTTGGCTGCAGTGAGGTGCTCGTTTGACGGGTTGCTTGAGAACTGGCTTAGGTTCTGCACGGCGAAGGCGATGTCCGGACGTGTGCCGAGAGCGGCATACATCAGCGATCCAATTATGGACTGATAGAGCTGTCGGCGCTCGTCGTCTGCATGGTCTGCCGAGCGGTGGAGCCGAACGTTCGGGTCCATCGGAGTATCGAGCGGATTGGCCTCGGACATGCCGAAACGAGTGAGAATTCGATCAATGTAGCCGGTTTGTCGGAGAGAGAGGGTACGCTTCGCGCGCTCGCGAGTGACTTCGAGTCCGACGACTTGCGCGATGTCTCCGAGATCGGTAATGTCGAAGTGCTTGAGGAGCTCGTTCTTGAGTGAGTCGGCCTCATGACGCGAGGAGGCCAAGACTGTCATGTCGTCGACGTGGACGGCTACGATGCAGATTTTCCCGTTGCGGACTCGGAAATAAACGCATTGATCGGAGATCAGGCGGGCGAAGCGGAGTTGGGCAAAGGCGCTGTCGAGTTCTTTGTTCCATTCGCGCCCTGATTGCTTTAGACCGTAGAGGGTGCGCAAGAGCCGGCAAACCCGTCCAGAGCCATCTTCATACATGGGCGGTTGCCTCATGTATATCTCCTCCTGGAGGTGTCCGTTGAGGTAAGCACCGACGACGTCGACCACCTGGATATCTAGATCGAGGACCGTGCCGACGGCTAGAAGCGTGCGAAGTGTCTCCAAGCGGACTACAGGCGCGTGAGTTTTGTCGAAATCCAGGCCAGGGATCTGGGAGAAGCCTTGTGCCACGAGGCGCGCCTTGTACTTCACAACGCGTCCGGTCGAGTCGCGTTTCCGGTGGAATACCCAGCGGCAGCCAATCGGCTTGCGGTCCGAGGGACAGGGCACGAGTTCGTACGTGCCGAGTGTGTTGAGCTGAGATACCTCCTTGTCCATTGCAGCGACCCACTCCGGCCAATCGGGTGACGACTTGGCTTCGGCAATGTTCTGGGGATCGTCTGACGGACCAACTAGGAAGGCGTAGTCAGGTTCTGTGACTAATTGGGCGCTGTCCGGATAGGACCGCAGGTTCTTCGCCCAGTCCGGGACGGAGCGCGCGGCTGGGTTTCCGATCGACCTGTAGTTGAGACGTGGTTTGTCGGACTGGCGCGTGGAGCGCGTAACGACTCGTTCGGATGCCTTTTTGGGAACGGGTGGGACGCTTGGTGCCGGCGCGTTGCGTAGCGGAGTGATCGGTGCGTTTAAGGGTGCGGACGCGTTTTCCGGCGCTGGCGTACCGACCGCCGTCTTGAAGTCGTCGTCGTCGTCGCTCGTGAGCTCGCTGAGGTCGCTGTAAAGACCTTGGGGCGGTTGCTCCTCTAGCAAACTCTCCCCCTCGACCGGCGCAAGGTCGGCATTAGCAGGCGGCACAGGCGCAGGGCGCTCAGCGGGTGTAATGCCGCTGACGAGTGTCGGTTCTTTTGCAAAAATGACGTTCCGCGAGGTGCGGACCTGGCGCGTCAGCGGGTCCCAAACACGGTAAGCGCGGGATTCTTCGGAGAAGCCCAGGAATTTGCATGCGCGGGATTTCGGCTCCAGTTTATGAATGCCGGGTTCCTGGCGCAATACCCACACGTCAGCGCCGAACTCCCGCAAATGCGAGACGTCGGGCTTCCGTCCCCAGAACGCCTCAAAAGGAGTTTTGCGCTGGTGCATCAGTGCGCGTGCGGGAGCGCGGTTTTTGACGTAGTTGGCGTATGACACCGCTTCGGGCCACAGGAATAAAGGAATGTTTCGCGCAAATAGCATAGCCCGAGCGGCCTCCATGAGTGTCCGATTGACGCGCTCGCCGATTCCATTCTGGGCCGACGAGTTGGGGGCAGTAAGTTCTAGAAGAATACCGTGGGAGCGGATGAAGTCTTTGACAGACTGGTTGACATATTCCCGACCGTTGTCGGTTCGCAGCACCTTCATGTTGACGCCCTTCTGATTCTTTAGGAAGGCATGATAGGCTTTCAGGGATGGCAGTGTCTGCTTCTTGTCGGGGACAAAGAAGAGCACGGTGTGACGCGCGTGGCCGTCTGTGAAAGTGGTGAAGTAGAAGATGCCGCGGATCCCCTTGATGCGGCATGGTCCCCAGTAGTCGGAAACCGTGAGATCTCCGACGTTCTCGATGACGGTGAGAGACTGTTTTGGGAAGGGGGTAACGTGCTGTTTTGCTCGAATGCACGCGTCGCATTGATCAGGCGGTGGGGAGGTGGGATCGACAGCAAGCCCAGTGACCATTTGGTGTCGGACGAGCATTTCGAGGTAACTGGTGCTGAGATGGGCATAGATGCGGTGTGCCTGATCCCAGGTGATGGGATCAGTCGCAGAGAGCGCTTGATCGGCCTCGGTGACTAAGTCTAGGCGGTATAACCGGCCTGACTTGCTTCCCGTGGCCAGGATATTTCCGGCTCGATCAGTGATCGTGACGGAAGCACTTTCGAAATTGATGCGCGCGCCTTTTTCGGTAAGGCGGGCGACCGAGATGAGGTTGTGGCTGGCAGTGGGGACGTGGGCGACGTCGGTCAGCGTGATGAGTTCGCGGGCGCTCGAGTTTTTGAGTGGCTTGAGAGGCACGACACCGCGTCCCAGCTTGGGGACTGAATATCCTCCAACGCCCTGGATGAATGCTCCAGGAGTAGCGATGTATTTGAAGAATGCATGCTCATCGCGCCCGACGTGTGTGGTTGCTCCACTATCGAGGTACCAATGCGGATCGTTGGCTGTTTGGAGCGCGACGTCGAAGCAATCCCCAGCAACCCAAACAGTTCCGGAGGGCTCGTCCAAGCCCAGATCGTCGGGATTCTCATCTCCGGCCAGGTTGGCGCGCCCACCGCTACGACCGAAGTTCCGAGAGTCGGGACGATCTCGGCCACGGTCCCGATCGCGATCGCGCTCGTCTTGATTGCCTCCGGGGTCCCTTCGAGGAAATCGACACTCAGATTGGACGTGCCCGCGTTTGTTGCAGTTGAAGCACGTCAAACGTTGCCTATTGCCTCGTGCCTGGAGTGCAGTGTCGAGGTCATCGCGTGAAGAGTCCTGACGGCACTCCTGGAGTATGCGGGCAATTAGCGTGGCAGACGAGATTTTTGCTTCGCCGCCAGCGGGCGCTATCAGATCTTGATCGTCGATCGATCGAAGGAACGGGCGCCAAGAATCGGGAAGGGACATTAAGATAGCCGTGGAGAAATCTTCTTCGGACATTTGTCCCCCGAGAGAATTGAGTTCGGAACGATATCCTCGGAGCGTCCGGAGGTGTTGTTCGATATCCCCGCCTTCGGGGCACTGTGTGCGGAAGAGCTTACGACGCGCCATAACTCTACCTATTGAGCCTGACGACTGGAACTCGCTTCGAAGCGCGTCCCATGCTGCTTTCGAAGAGTTGGCGTCTTGTACGACATTGATGACGTCAGAGGTGACGCGCACTCGGATCATCCGGAGTGCTTTCCGATCCTTCTTCCTCCAGTCCGGTTGGAGGGCCTCGGCGTCGGGCAGTGTCAAGTCGCCGCTGACGTAATCCCAGAGATCGGCTTCTTCCAAGATATCCGACATCTGAATTCGCCATGTGGCGTAGTTCGTCTCGCCGCGAAGGGGCTGAATTCGATACGATTCGTCGGCCATGGCTACGGCCGGATTGTCACAGCAATTTCAAGTAAAGTTTCGAAAAAATGATCAGAGGTAAAAATAGCGAACGAGGCTTCTGAGCGATGCAGGGCTCATAACCTGTAGA